GGAGCCGGCCCCGCCCGGGCTGCAGCCATGGTAAGGCGGACGGGCGCGGGGCAGGATCCGGGCACGCAGGGCCCGCTGCTCCCCGGCGAGTCCGTGGGGACCTGGGGCGCCGCAGCCCCGGCTCTGCGGGGCGGGGGGCGCTGTCACCGGATCCGGGAACAGGCAGGCACTGCGGGCTGGCGCCGCTGCGTCGCCGCTCCCAAGTTTCTCCCTCTGGTCGGAGCAGCGACCAAGCGGGCCCCGACCCGACCCCCAGGGTGCTGCCTGCGTTCTCGGACGAAGGGGTAGGTCCGTGCTGAGGGAGGTGCCCGCCGGCCAAGACGCGCATGTTGGGCAGGGGAGGGCGCGTCAGTGATGTGCGGAGGTGAGGGTCCCCGCCCTTGGCGTCTGTGATGAGCGGGGGTGAGGGTCCCCGCCCTTGCCTGGATCAGTTGTTACCTGAGTGACCCCCTCCTCACTCACCTACCCTGGACGCAGGGGCCAGCACCAACTTGCTTTGGAAAAAACACGCAGAGAGAGCCCGCAAACACTGCCTGCCCTTCCCAGGAGAGAGCCGCTTAGACCCTCTCTCTTGCACGGCCTGGCAAGGGGCAGCCCCTGAGGGCGGGAAGCCCAGACCATCATCCTGCCCCGCAAGGGATCAGCTATATCGCTCTGCCTCTGAAACAGGAACCATGGGGAGGCTTCCTCTGCTGCATCTGCACCGCCCCCTCCCCCGCCCCACAACCAGGTCCCTCTGCAGTGCGTGGGGTTGGAAGGAGGGTGGTGGTGTCATTCCTGCCACCTGCCTGTAGTGGGAAGAGAAACAGTAACCCCAGCCAGCCAGCCTCCCTGGAGGCCCCCAGGTAGAAAGTTTTGATGCTTAGCTGTGAGGATATTAGCTCTGCTCCTGCCATTGCCAGAGTCTACCACAAACACATTGTGCCGGTTGTCAGAGCCTCCAGGCCCCACGCCAGCCTCTCCTCCCGGTCTGCAAGAAGCCCCCCAGCCTTTGCCCTCTGCATGGGGAGGCACAGGCTGTTTACAGCAGGATGGGATCTGTGAGTAGTCCTTGGACCCTGGGGGAATCAGAAGCTTCCAGGTCTGAAAAGGCTAACATTTTGGGTTCTTGTTTCTCAAGCTGTGTCTAGGCAGAGGCCCAAGTCTTGGCCAGGAAATCCTGATGACTCTGTGACGTTCCCTAAAGGGGGGTTCCTGGGAGAGGCCAAGTGGTGCCTGTCTTTACCCTTGCCCCCCTTTCTCCCCACATGAGGATGGACAGACTGATTGTTCCAGGGATGGAAGCTTGGGGGAGCACCAATTGTCCCCAGTGCCAAGCCCAGCAAGGGTCAGAGGGGTTTTTTCTGTCACACACTAAATTCAGTTCAGCTGAGGTTTTGGTGCTTGCAGCTTGGCTGAGGTCTCCCTGCTATTCTCTAAATAAAGCCACCCCCACACCCCCCCAGTCTCAGCCTCAGGCCCCTGCCCTCAAGCCAGCCCAGTCCTTAGGCCAATTGGTTCATGTCAGGCCAGACTCCTCTAGAAGGGTCTCCTTGTCAAAGGAGGGCAGTGTCCTAGCTGTTTTGGAGGTCAGTGGGGAGAGCTCCTCAGTCCAGGAGCCCCAAGGAATTTTAATTTGCATGTGAAAAAAAATGACAGACCAACATTAATAACCAACCTGTGACTTGAGATGTACCTTCTCTCCTCAGGTTCAAAGCAGCTTGAGGTATCTGTCATCTGGGAGTGCTTTCTGTCCCAGCCTCCCTGGGAGGCAAGGAAGGACTATTCATAATTAACCATTAGGCCCTGATATTAAGATACTATTCAAACTCACAAAGGGTCCTGGCCAAACCAGAAACACTGGTCTCCTGACTCCTCGTTCAGTGCTCCATCTGCACACTCCTAGCCAGGCCCCTCAATTTGTCTCCCACCTAATTTGCTGCTCTCAAGCCTCTGGGATGCAAGTCTCCCATTGGCCTGAACCCATGCCCCTCAGAGATAAACTGCTAGCTGCTCCCCAGTCGGCTCTATGGAAGAGATGGGGTGATGGAATTAACAGAGGTCCCTATAAATCAGAGGTTGGGTGTCCTAGAGTGGGAGGAGTGCCCGGAGCAAAGATCCCTTTGTGGCTGGGGCTCTCTGCAGGGAAATCAAGGAGCAGATTTCTGAAGACAATGGGTAGGGGAGAAGTTCTCTGCTGGGAGAACACAAAGAAACAACTGGAAAGAAAAGTGGGGCCGTCCCCACAAGACACTATAATCAGGGGTCCCAAGGGATCACAGGATATCCCACCCTATTTTAAGTACCACTTAAAGTTATGGTGAAAGAGGAAATTGGGGGATTGGAGTCCTTTGGAGTGGAGCCTCCTGGGTAGCTGTCTCCATGCACTGATGGACCAGGTCACCTTGGGAGCAGGCCTCAGTGTCCTTGAGCATTAACAGGAAGGGCCAAGTGGATCAAGGGCCTGTGCTGCAGACTTGGGGGGTTGGTGCTGTGCCCACCAGGGTAGGCAGCAGGCAGGCATCATGGGGTGGCCAATCAGAGGAGGAAGGGACTGCAGAGAAACTGAGTGATCCTGCTGCAGCTGAGCTGTCCTTGGAGGGTGGAGGCTGAGGGAAGGGGAGGAGGAGAGGGCGGGGATGGACATTCCACAGGCTTTTTTAGCCCCTGCCAGAGACAGGGTCAAAGAGAAAGGGAAAGGAGCAAGCCAGGAAGCCAGATTACAACAAGAGCATCAAGACACGGCTGTTTCTGTGTGTGAAGAACTTTGCCTGGGAGATAAAATTAGACCTAGAGCTTGCTGACAGGGAGCTTGAAGCGTGGGGCATGGACCGTTCATTGGGATGGCAAGGGAATTCTGTCCCTGAGGACAGGACTGAAGCTGGGGTAAGGTGCTGCTCTGGGAGATGGGTAGACCAGACATATCTTCCCCCTGCGGTGGCTGGAATTGAGGCTGAAGTCAGAACATGATTTGGCTACTGGCAGAGCTGGAGGTGCCCCTGTGTCCTATTCCATGCTGATGAGAAGCCAGGGCTGGCAGATAGGATGCTGCTGGGTTCCTGGTGGCTCTGCTGGACGATTGTGGGGGCTAGGGGTCTCCATCAGTGCCTACCATTCTCCCTACTCTGTTTTTTTCCTCCCCCTGGAATGCCCCTGGGGAAAACAGGCTGAGCACAGTCCTCTCTCTCCCACCCTTAGCCTGGCTTACTGTGGAGTTGTGCAGAGGGGCAGGACTTCCTGGAATTCCCCAGACTCTTAAGCTGCCAGCCAACAAGACCCGCTGTTCCCCCAGCCCCAATCCTTCTCTCTTGCCATATAATCAATGACTGGGACACTTTTTATAGTGAAAGGGGATGCAATTAATCATCATGCCAGGACAACAAGCATAAACCAGGATGTGTGGTCACCCCATTGGGCCCCACAAATACTATGGCTGAGAAAAGCCTGTTAGATCAGGCTTACCTCTTCTTGTCAATAAGCCCCTACATGCTGGTTCTAGTTTCAGGCTTAAGGGCCCTCTTTTCCTCCCCTCTGTCTAGCCCTGGGGAAACCCTGGTGGCGTAGTGGTTAAGAGCTACGGCTGCTAACCAAAAGGTCGGCAGTTCAAATCCACCAGGCACTCCTTGGAAACCATACGGGGCAGTTCTACCCTGTCCTATAGGGTTGCTCTGAGTCGGAATCAAGTTGGCGGCCAACGGGTTTTGGTTGGTCCAGCCCTGGAGACTATGGCTACAGGCAGGTGTGGGGACTTAAGAGGTGACAACTTAGAAGTAGCTGATAGGGAACTTTTCTCTCTAGCCTCTCTATCTCAATCCCTGGCAGTGTGCAAGGCTACCTCCTTAATTTTTCCCTTTGTAAAATGAGGACGGGTGCAAAGACCATAAACGTCTTATCTCCCCCCAGCCTGGCTGGGACTCCGCAGTGGTCCAGGGTAGCCCCCACTGGCTTGGCTAGCCCCCAGAGGGTGAGTCAGTCTCTGTAGCTAGCCTTGTCCATTGTCTGGGAGTGGCACATGGGTATTGTGAGGCAGAGCTGAGCCCAGCACTGCCAGGCACTCCACAAAGGGGGCTGGCCACAGAGGAGAGGGGAAACTTTAGGGTGGAGAACTGAGGCAGGAGGTGGGGGGGTTACCCCTATCCCAAGCCAGGGGTGGGGTGGAACAGACCTCTACAGACGAGCCAGATCATTCTCTGTCTACCAACCCGTGTGGCTTTCAGGCCAGACACCCTCCTGCACTGCTGGCTAGAGCCCGGCTCTGGGTAGAAGGGGCAAGAGGGCAACTGAGGATTCCCTCCTAGTTGAGGGCTGTCAGCCATCCTTCAACTCTCCCTGAGTGATTCCATAGCCAGTATCCTCCCATCCTCCCTCCCCTGGCCCCTCTGGCTACCCTTCACCCACACTCAGCATCCCCTGGCAGGTTTACCTTTCTCTCCTGGGGCCTAGGGCCAGGCTCTGGTGTGGCTCAATGTCTGGAATGAGGAGGTAGGGTCAGCAGTACTGAGCGCTGCGCAGTGAGCCCTAGGGCCTGAGCACCCCCAGGAGAATCTACACCTCAGGTCCAGAGCTCACAGACCCACATTGAAAGGAGGCACAGAGCCCCCTGCTGGCTCTTGACTTACCTGGGACTGCCTACTCCGTTCTCCCTCCTCTTCCTCCCTCCTGCCCCTGCCACCTCTGACTCACTGCTCTCTCCCTTGGATCCTAAGCCTCGCTCTCCTCTGGCTCTAATGCCTCAGTCTGCTCCCCCTTACTCAGTCTGACTTCCTGGCCTGGCGGTGGAGGGGCGGGGGCAGTCTCTGGCCCCTGGTTCAGCCAGTCCCCCAGGAAAGGCCACCTCAACAAGTACCCTGCTGAGAGGGAGCACCAGGACTGGAGCTACACAGTTCCCAAGAGCAGTCACCATGGCTCTGGGGACTGCCCAGGGCTCCTCCTGGACTGCGCTGTCCCTTCTGGCATATTGTATTAGGGAGGCCCGTAAGAAGGTGAGGGCGGGATGGTGATGCTTCCTCTGGCTTGGCTGCTCTTGCAGTCTCTTTCCCTTCTAATCCCAAGTGCATCCCTCTCTCCCTCTCACCTTCTCCTGTCTTCTTCCTTTATTCTTCCCTTCCTGCCACCTCCCACCTGCCCCTCCACCCCCCACCCATCCCCCAGATCAAGCGCTTCCTGGAGGAAACGGATGATTCAGAACTGACCAAGTTCGTGAAGGATTTTCCAGGGAGCGAGAGCTGCTGCCCACCAGAGGCCAAGACCTGGGTGTCCAGGCCTCAAATCCTGGAGCCAAGGCCCCATGCTCCAGACCGCTGCGATGATGACCTGGAGTTCAGAGCCCCCTCGTGGTCCCAGGCCTCTGACAGCCACCAGCACTTCTGTGCTCCAGCCCCCCTCAGCCCCTCAGCCCGGCCCCGCAGCCCATGGGGCAAGCTCGATCCCTATGACTCCTCTGAGGTAGAGCCTCCAGCCCTGCCTTTGCCTTTCTGTGGGCTGGTTCAAGAAGGCCCAGGGAGGGAGCAGTGTGTTTGTGTAAGCTGAGACCTCCCTCTGTCCTGTGTCAGCCTCAGCTCCCTGGTGTCTGTCCCCAAGGGCATTAGGAACTGATAGTATTATCAGGAGCAGGAGGCTCAGCTGGTGGCCCCTGAGAGGGCCTCAAAGGAGCCTGGCACTACTCCTATAGGACTGGGGCAAAGACCTAGAAGGGAGGAGAAGGCTGGTGCTGGGTCCTGGTGTCCCTCCTGCCTGTCCCCCTGATGCAGTCTGCCTTCCTGTCCGCTAGGATGACAAGGAGTATGTGGGCTTTGCAACCCTCCCCAACCAGGTCCACCGAAAGTCTGTGAAGAAAGGCTTTGACTTTACCCTCATGGTGGCAGGTAGAGCAGGGGCGAGGCTGGGCTGGGCAGGGTCTGTTTTAGGTGGGGGTGGGGGCGGTGGGTAGGAAAGGAGCAAGCAGCAATTTGGCTGTGCCTTTTTGCATAATAGCCAGGAGCCATTGGTGGCTGAAAGTGTGTGTAGGGGGGGTGAAGTGGTAAAAAGAGCACTTGACCAACAGTTTTCTAGTTCTTGTCTCTTTGTGTGTGATGTTGGGCAATCTCTTGCCCTCTCTGGGCCTCATTCAAATAAGAAGTCTGGACAAGCTGATCTCGTTCCTTCTTTCCAGCTCTAGAATGCTATCATTTGGTTAGTCACCTTTCCAATTAGATAAGAAAGCAGCAATTCCCACACCTTGGTCCAGTGGGGGAGCTTCTTGGCGACAGATCTTACCTTCTGATTTGGTGCCTCTCCCCTCTGTCCCGTCAGGAGAGTCTGGCCTGGGTAAATCCACCCTTGTCAATAGCCTCTTCCTCACTGATCTGTACCGGGACCGGAAGCTCCTCAGTGCTGAAGGTAAGGAAAGGAGAGGACCATGAGAACAGTCAGGCAGACCTGTCTTAGGAAAGCAAACTCGCTCCAGAGCCTGGGGAATGAGACCTCCCAGCATGCAAGGAAACCATGGCTTCCTTGAGAAACGGAAGGCATCTCTCCATAGGCCCATCCAATCTGGCAGCCCACCAGCCAGCTCCCTAAAGATTTGGGTGCTGAAGTAAGGCAGGGACCAGAATCCTGCTGAGTGAGTCCCTGACCCCCAGAGGATTCCAAGAATCCAAGAAAAAAGCCGGGAACAGAGAAAAGGCTGGGGCCAGAGCCAACAGCCACCGGCATTTCCTGTGTTGGGAAACATGCTCCTTGCTGGTTCCCAGAGAACAGGCCCCCAGACATCCAGGGGGTGGGAAGGGGGCAATGTGGATGAGGCAGTCTGGGTGAAGCTGGTTGGGGTGGGCAGTTTGTCCTGACTGGGCAGGTCCCTGCCCTTGCCCTGGCCTCAGTTTCCCCCTTCTCCAGAGCGGATCATGCAAACTGTGGAGATCACCAAGCATGCGGTGGACATAGAAGAGAAGGGCGTGAGGCTGCGGCTCACCATTGTGGACACACCAGGTTTTGGGGATGCAGTCAACAACACAGAGTGGTATGTTTGACCAAGCACAACCCCAGCTGGCCCTCCCCCATACACACACAGATGCACCTGTAGGCATAACCCAAAACCAAACTCGTTGCCATTGAGTTGATCCTGACTCACAGCAACCCTCTAAGACAGAGTAGAACTGCCCCATAGGGTTTCCAAGGAGTGGCTGGTAGATTCAAACTGCTGAACTTTTGGCTAGCAGTCAAGTTCTTGATCACTGCGCCACCAGGGCTCCACATATAGGCATAGACATATTAAAACTTGTAAGGGGAAGAGGTCTGTGACCTTGAGCATGTCATGCCCCCTTTCTGGACTGTAGCCTCCTCCTCTGTAAAATGAGAGGGAAAGGATTGGAGTAGATGACATCCAATGTTCCTTCCAACTCTGAACTATATAAGTCTTTAATTCTGGAAATGAGAGTAGGGGCACAAGATGAGAAAGTAGAGCCTCAAATGAGCGAACACATGTGAAAACATGTAGCACTGGGCCTGACACACACACACACACACACACACACACACAAACAAAAAACCATTGCCATCAAGTCAATTCTGACTCATAGCCACAGGTGACGCATAGTAGGTGCTTAATAAATATCACTCTCCCCCCTTTTCCTTTCACTAGCAACATTTTAGGTGCCACACTGAAGTCTTATTGAAGGCATGGGGGTGTATGGTGGGAGGCAAAGGGTGAAAATGAGTGAAACCTTGTTTTAACTCCAGGCACCCTTCAGGCTGTCTGCCAAAAGCAAAGGTAGCTTTGCCACACACCCTGATCACCCCTGGCTTTTTTTCAGGAACTGAAAGTATACTTATGTAATAGGTAGACCTAAATGAGTAGACGGTGGAGAATGGATGAGAAAGACAGGTGCTTTTGATGAAGAAATTACGCAGAGCGATGCTAAGAGCCTTGGACTGAGAGTTTAAATCTTGACTCGGTGTTTAGTAACTGTGTGTTCTTGAGCAAGTGACTGTGTTCCTATTTCTTCAGTAGAAAAATATTTGCCCTTACTACCTCGCCCAGTTGATCTGAAGACCTCCCAGAATAATGCATGTGAATGTGCACTGAAAACTGTAAAACGCTGTTTACACTAGATTCATGAACTTTGATGGTGATAACTGCAGGACTGACTGTAATTTGTTGGGACGAGTGCAAAATGAATATGTGGAGCCCCTTGTTCAAAAAGCATTAAGAATTCCAAGATGGTGAACAGCAGAGTAATAAACCAAGCATGGGCCCTTCTAAGGGTGGGGCCCTGTGTGATTGCATAGGTCACACGCCCATGCAGCTGGCCCTGGCTAATTACTTCAACAACTAATCAGACCCTTACAGACCTTTTTGTGCTATGAACCCCCCATCACATGCTTTATCATTATAACATGTGACTTTCGGCTCAGCAAACTGGTTCACCCTCAACTATACAGCCTTGAGGGAAGGACCATTGCTTACATTCTTGCCACAGCACGGTGCTAGTACATGGTACATGGTCCCCATAAGTCCTCCTGATAGATTGAGGTGATCCCCATGTCATCATCACCTTTCCTGCTCTAAGAAGGATACCAGGGAATATGTCCCGGCAAACTGAGTTTGCCCTGAAACTCTAGCCCCAACCAATACCTGGTCTCTACTGTAGCAAGTTATCACCCTCTCCTTTGATCAATCTACCCACCTCTTCTTACCTCCCATGATAATATTATTTGCCTGGCACCTTATAGTATACAGTGCACCTCCACATAGATTCACTTAGTCAACCTGCATGAGTATACTGTGCACATACTAGGTATCCAGCCCTGTGCTGGACATTGTACGGGATGCAGAACAAGTCTGAGTGATCCCAGTCCCTGAGAGGCTGACAGTCTAGTAGTAGGAAGTGAGGTTGGGGCGTTCTCTAACGTATGAGTCAATCATGTAACAACTCAAGTCAGTCACTGGTTCAGGCAGTGGCTTAGTTATCTAGTGCTGCTATAACAGAAAATACTACAAGTGGGTGGCTTTAACAAATATATTTTCTCACAGTTTAGGAGGCTAGAAGTCCTAATTCAGGGTGCCAGCTCTAGAGGAAGGCTTTCGGTCTCTGTGAGCTCTGGACAAAGGTCCTTGTCTCTTTAGCTTCTACTTCCTGGTTCCCTGGAGATCACCATGCATCTTGGCATCTATCTTACCCCATCTCCGCTCATTCGATTGCTTGTTTAATCTCATATCTCAAAAGAGGTCGACTCAAGACATGCCTTACACTAATCCTGTCTCATTCCCATGACAAAGATAACCCATTCCCAAATGGGATTATAACCACAGGCATAGCGATTAGGATTTACAACACATAGTTTTGGGGGACACAATTCAATCCATAACATTCCAACCTTTGGCCCCCCAAAATTTATGTCTTTGCCATATGCAAAACACATTCACCCCATTACATCATCCCAAACGTCTTAAATCAACTCCAAATCCAAAATCTCATCTTCTGAATCACCTAAATCAAATATGGGTGAGATTTATTCCACCCTGGAGCAAAATTCCTCTTCATCTGTGAACCTGTGAAATCTAGATTACAAGTTATCTGTTTCTAAAGTACAACAGTGGAACAGACACAAGGTAGACGTTACCATTACAAATGAGAGAAATTGGAGGGAAAGAAGGGATATCGGGCACCAAGCAAGTCCAAAACCCAGCAGAACAATTTATATTAGCTCTCAAGGCTTGAAAATAATCCTCTGTTCTCTCAGACCAAGTCTGGGTGTTGGCCATGCCCTCTGGGTTCTGAGTGGAGGCCCCCCAGCCCTGGGCTTCAGCTCCACCTTCCAGGCCCTCTGGAAGTCTGCTTCCCTCGGCTTTAGGCAGCTCCATTCTCCTAGTCCTTCTGAGTGACAACCCCGCCCCCTCAGCCCCAGCAGTCCCCATTCTTCTGCCCCTTTGGCATGGCAGCTCCATCCCCTCAGCTTTGGGCAGTGGTCCCATCCCCCTGGCACACCTTAATGGCAGTCCCACACCTCAGAACTGAGGTGGTGAAGATTGGACTCTTTGAAACCTAGGAGGCTGTGACCCTACCCTTTGAGATCCAGGAGACTGTGGCCCCACCCTTTGAAACTGAGAAGGCCTTGCTTTCTGTGTCCCTTCCAGCAGTTCTGCTGATCTCCAAGGTGCTCCAGGGGTGGTCTTTTTCTTTTCTTGGACAACAGATGTAGCTCCTTTGGCCTATTTCTTGCCTATAGAATTCCAAGAGGCAGACAGCATTCTTTCCTTTCATTCTTTCTCTGTCCCCTGCAATCTAAGCTGATGAGTTTTCTGCTGTGGTAGTTGGTTACATCCATCAGTCACAGGCTTAATCTCTTTAACAAAAGTTTGTGTAGCCACATCCTTGGTGAACATTCTAGGAAATGTGTCCTTAGTTTGTACAACAGAATTTTCCAAATCTTTAAGTTCTCTTTTCATTTTGCACAGTTCATTTTTAAACCTATCACTTTCCTTTTGCATTTTACTATAAGTGACAAGCAGAAACCATGCAGACCCTTTGAGATCTTGCTTAGAAATCTCATCAGCCAGATATCCAAGTTCATCACTTAGAAGTTCTACCTTCCACCAAACATTTGAACATAATCATAATTCAGACAAGTTCTTTTTTTTTTTTTTTTTTGTCTTAATTGGAAGGTAACCACAAAAAATACAGACCAAAATAAAAACGATGTTATGGAAAACCCACTACCATCTAGTCTGTTCCAACTCATAGCAACCCTGTAGGGCACAGAACTGCCCCATAGGGTTTCCAAGGCTATAGATCTTTTTTTTTTTTTTTTTTTTTAATTGTGCTTTAAGTGAAAGTTTACAATTCCAGTCAGTCTCTCATACAAAAATTTATACATACATTGTTATGTGACCCAAGTTGCTCTCCCTGTACTCTCACAGCACACTCCTCCTTTCCACCCCGGATTTCCCGTGTCCATTCAACCAGCTCCCGACCCTTCTCATCTTGCTTCCAGACAGGAGCTGCCCATTTAGTCTCATGTATCTACTTGAGCTAAGATGCACACTCTTCATACGTATCATTTTATGTCCCACAGTCCAGTCTAATCTTTGTCTGAAGAGTTGGCCTCAGGAATGGTTTTAGTTTTGGGCTAACACAGAGTCCAGGGGCCATGTCTTCTGGGGTTCCTGCAGTCTCAATCAAACCATTAAGTCTGGTCTTTTTACTAGAATTTGAGTTCTGCACTCCACTTTTCTCCTGCTCCGTCAGGGAGTCTCTGTTGTGTTCCCTGTCAGGGCACTCAGACAAGTTCTTTGCCACTGCATAAAAAGCATTGCCCTTCTTCCATTGTCCAATCACATGTTCAACATTTTCTTTTAAAGCCTCACCAGAAGCACGTTTAACATCCACATTTCTAGCAACATTCTGTTGCTGGCACAATATGTATTCTCTAAGACGACAGAAACTTTCTCTATTGCTTTCCTCACTTCCTTCTGAGCCCTCACCAGAATTGCTTTTGACATCCATAATTCTACCAGCAGTCTCTTCAAGGCTTTTACCATTAGGCATCTTAAAAATCTTCCATCCTCTACCCATTACCCAATTCCAAAACCACCTCCACATTTTAGGTATCTGTTAGAGGAGCACTCTTACTTCTCAGTGCCAAATTCTGTGTTAGTTATCTAGTGCTGTCATAACAGAAATGCCACAAGTGGGTGGCTTTAACAAACAGACTTATTTTCTCACAGTTTAGGGTGCTAGACGTTCTAATTCTTAGGGTACCAGCTGTAGAGGAAGGCTTTCTCTCCATCGGCTCTGGAGAAAGGTCCTTATCTCTTCAGCTTCTGCTTCTTTGGAAATCTCCATGTGTTTTGGCATGTATCTTATCCTGTCACTGCTCACTCGCTTGCTTGTTTCATCTGTTTTATACCTCAAAAGAGACTGACTCAAGGCATACCCTACACTAATCTTGTCTCATTAACATAAGAAAGACAGCCCATTCCCAAATGGGATTATAACCACAGGCATAGAAGTTAGGATTTAAAACACACGTTTTTGGGGGACACACTATCAATCCGTAACAGGCAATATAGTGGCAAACACACTGAACTAGGAATTGCTCCAGCCAAACGATCTGGAACAAGTCTCTTAACTGTTCTGGACTTAGTTTCTTCGTGTAAAAAATCATAAAGATGTTGTTCAAAATGTCCACCTATCAGGGCAGTGAAGATTAAACTAGATAACAGAAGAGCAAAGGACTTGAAATTATAAGTCAAATATATATATATCAATCACTGTGCAGTGAAGAGATGGGGGACAGCAGTGTACATTGGTATAGTCAAAGGAGCCTTCCTGGAAGACATGGTTCTTGGATATGGTCTTGAAGGATGGAGTGGGTTTGGAGAGGTGAGGAGAGTGTGGAACCAGATGAGCAAAGGCTCAGAGGCTGGACTGTGAACTTGATTTAGGGCTCCCTTGGCTTTCCAATTAGTATTCACCTGCAGCTACCTTGCTATTGTTACTGCTTTGTTTGTTCAGCTGGACCCTTTTCCTCTCACCAAGCTAGTATTTATTGAACTCTGCCTGCGTGCTTCATCTAATTTTCTATCAGGGCACCCCTGTTCTGCTCAGGTATCTCCCTGAAGATGTAGTACAAGTGAGCCAGGGGGTAACAATGTCTTGGAAGCACTGTTCAGGGTGTGGGCTACTTCTCTGCAGTCCCAGAGCTCAAAAGGCAGCCTCTACTCCCCACTGTTTCTCTGCCTGTCTGTCCCTGCCCCAGCTGGAAGCCTGTGGCAGAATACATCGACCAGCAGTTTGAGCAGTATTTCCGAGATGAGAGTGGCCTGAACCGCAAGAACATCCAAGACAACAGGGTGCACTGCTGCCTGTACTTCATCTCGCCCTTCGGCCATGGGTATGGTCTGAGCTTGAGGCTCCTGGCACCACGGGGTGCTGCCAAGGGAACAGGCCGAGAGCACCAGGGGCAGGGCTACCACCAGCAGGTGATCACAGATTCCTGTTCTCCAGGCTCCGGCCATTGGATGTTGAATTCATGAAGGCTCTGCATCAGAGGGTCAACATTGTGCCTATCTTGGCTAAGGCAGACACACTGACACCTCCTGAAGTGGAACACAAGAAACGCAAAGTGAGTGAAGCTGGGGGAGGGGGGAGCAGGTGGGCTTCTAGAAAGGATGGGGCCCCCAGAACTGTGAGCCCCTCATGTGTTTGCTAGATCCGGGAGGAGATTGAGCACTTTGGAATCAAGATCTACCAGTTCCCAGACTGTGACTCTGATGAGGATGAGGACTTCAAATTACAGGACCAAGCCCTAAAGGTGGGGCCACCCCAGGGCATCCCTTTCCCATCTTATTTTTTCTGAGCAGGAGAGGGGAATGTAATTCTATAGAGGAGCGGGCTGTTGGAATGGGAGAGGACCCTGGCTTCCTAGAGTGAAGCAGCAAAGGTAAAGATACAGGTGGAAAGGAACAGGTGAGAACTGGAGTGCTGACAGGTATCCCTAACTTCTTCTAGGAAAGCATCCCATTTGCTGTAATTGGCAGCAATACTGTGGTAGAGGCCAGAGGGCGGCGAGTTCGGGGCCGGCTCTACCCCTGGGGCATCGTGGAAGGTAAAGCACTGAGCTTGTGACCAGGGTTCTCCTTTCTCTCAGTGGCTCTCCCCTACCCCTGACCCTGGCTGACCACAGCCTTGCTATGCAGTGGAAAACCCAGGGCACTGCGACTTTGTGAAGCTGAGGACAATGCTGGTGCGTACCCACATGCAGGACCTGAAGGATGTGACACGGGAGACACACTATGAGAACTACCGGGCACAGTGCATCCAGAGCATGACCCGCATGGTGGTGAAGGAACGGAATCGCAAGTATGGCCAGAAGCCAGGACAAAGCTGGCAGGGGGATCCCAAGTGCAGTCTTGAGTGAGACCAAGCCCTTCCCTTGTTCTTCTACAGGCCCTGAGCTCAATCCAAGCAGGTGCTATGATCCTCCTAGCCTTACCAACCTGCTTTCCCCTTCCCCTCAGCAAACTGACTCGAGAGAGTGGTACTGACTTCCCCATCCCTGCTGGCCCGCTAGGGACAGATCCAGAAACTGAGAAGCTGATACGAGAGAAAGATGAGGAGGTGAGAGCAGGATGAGGTGGCAGGGGCTGACAGTCTGGGAGGTCCCCTGCTTGATCATCAACCTCAGCATCGCCTGGTTTGGGCTGGTGCATATTTGGGTCCTGGGTTGGTGGATAGTTCTGCCCATAGTCTCCATCACACTTCAGGGCTACCAAGGCCGATTCAAAGGATTAGAGCTTAAGGGCATTCCCCAACACTATGGAACTCCCCAAAAGGCCCCACTTTGATGCATGTGCCTATTCCAGCTGCGGCGGATGCAAGAGATGCTGCACAAAATCCAAAGACAGATGAAGGAGACCCATTAGCTGGCTTTCAGCTCTGGATATTTAAATCTCCTCCTCTTCCTCCTGCCCATGCCGGACCCTCCCAGCACCAGCTCTGCTCAGGCCCCTGCAGCTACTGCCACTTTGCCTTACATCCCTGCTGCCTCCCCAGAGACTCAAGAGGAAATAAAGTTTAACAAATCTATAGGTGGCTTCTCGTGTCCCTGTCTGTATCTTTACCACCTGCTGGAGACCAAAAAGATCTTAGGACTTAGTTTTGAAAGGCTGCTGGAGGAAGGTGCTGGTTTCTGGATTTTATTAGGGAAGGGAGAGAGGGGAAAACTTTCCCCTCTGACTGCTTAGAATCCAGCCTATCTTCTCCATCTTAATGGCCATTCATCCTTCCTGTGGTGAGTCCCTAGGTAGTGCTAACAGTAAAGCGCTCAACCACTAGCCTAAATGTTGGTAGTTCCAACCTACCCAAGAGGCACCCAGAAGCCAGGCCTGCTTCTGAAAGGGCACAGCCTTGAAGACACTATAGAGCACAGTTCTACTCTGCAACACATGGGGTCGTCATGAGTTGGAATCGACTCCCTGGCAACTAACAACAACAACCTTCCTCTAGCCTGAGACTCTTCCCATCCTTTTCACATACAGTAACTTCAATTTTGTAGCAGCCCCTTGGTTTTGGATCTGATGCCTGCCTTTGGGTAAACACAGGGTATTAACTGCATGCAGCCTCCTGACTTCCTATTTCCTCTGACCTGGGGAAAGGGATATGCAGAATTAAGCCTTGTATAGAGCATACAACAATCCCTGAAGCCCCTGTAATCACCAAACACTATAGTAAGCACTGGGAATGAGTAAAGTACAATCATTGTCCTGGAGGAGTTCAGTAATTAACAAATATTTATTAAATATCTACTTGCTTGCAGATATTGTTCTAGACCCTGGAGTTAAAGCAATGAACACAGGCGAGGTTCCTGTTTTCGTGGATCTCACTGTAGTGAAAATTTCAATGCTCTATAAACAGATAAGTGAGCACACTTTAGCCCGAGGCCTTGTATTAGAGCTCTCAGGCTCACCCCAGAGCTGAGACTACACTATACTCATTTCAGGCCGTAAGATTCCACTGGAAATCTAAGTCAACTTCTCCATTTCAGTCGCGTTGGTGATATCGCGGGGACACGGCGACCTCCGGCGGCCACCCTCCGCCTTGCTGTCTCCCCAGAGGAGCAACGAGCTGGGTACTTGGAAGTCCTGTCTCCCTCTCCCTTTTACAGACCAGGAGGCCGCAGGTAGCTAGCGCCAGTCGCAGGCCAGGTTTCCTAACTCTCGGGTTAGAGATCTTTACCGGGATTGGTGGCACTATGCAGATCATGAAGGACGCCATGGTCGGTTCCCCACTATAAGGTGAGGGTTGGTCGAGCCGGTCTAGACGCAGGAGAGGGGAAATTCCAGCGCCGCCGGTCGGGAAAAGACCTAGACGGAGCCTCGGGCCCTGCCCTCCTCCCTCTCTTAACCTGAGCGGTCGTTTCTCCTGGTTTGGCTTTGGGGCCGGATGACCGCAGCGAAACCAAAACAGCAATGGATTAAACCGAGATGCCATCAAGGATCTATTTGAGAAGTACCTCTAGGGCTGGGTCGTCACCGGAAGTTGCTGTGAAAGGTCTGCTTCCCTACAAGGCCACGCCCCTCATTGCGATACCAATACGCGACAGGCCTCCCCCACATCCGGCCCCAGGAGCCTTACCCGGTAGCCCTCTTTACTACTTCCCCATTGGCTGCCGCAGGGACGCGCTGTGATTTCCCATTGGTCGTGTCTCCTCTCAAGGGCCGCGCCTCCTCCCTCCAGGTAGCGTCTCGTCTTTCGGCACCCGATAAGCTAAAGGCTGGGAGGGCGTCTGCCCTACTTGACCAATGAGCGACGTGAAGAGTGAGGGCGGCGGTTGCGCGGTGGGGGCGGGGAGGGACTTGGTGTGGCTATTGGCCAGGGCACGCACAGGCTAGAGATACGATTGGTTGTGGCGAGGGGCACCGTGGTGGGGTCCGGGCTGCGCGGCCTCAGGAGCTGCGGGAGACGGAAGTGGTGAGAGCGCGGCCTCGGAGGGTCGGGCGGTCGCCGCCTGGGTGAGTCACTGGGCCCCGTACACTGCCAGTCTGTAAACCGCAACGACCGCGTCTAGCCCGGCCCCGCCCCGGCCCCCACTGGCTTTCCTGAGCCCGCCCTATGTCATTCGGGGCTCCGCCTTAGAGTTTTTAGGCTCCACCCCTAGAACCTGGGTACCTGGGCTGCCCTGCCAGCCTGGCCCCCCCCCCCCGCCCGGGACCAGATAAATCCCTTAGGTGTGGGAACCCTGGGCCTCCCAGGCCTGATCGTTGTCCCTCCTTCCTTCCATCCATCTTCCTGAGGCTTCGTGTCAGTAGGCGGTAAGGTAGCACCTCTGGTTTGCTGCTTGCGAGGAAGGGTGGGCTGGGGAAGAAGGACCTGTGATCAGGGAGGAGGGCAGGGCTACAGAAGGAAGCTTTTATCCCCACAGTCTCCCGCTGTGCTTTGCTGCACTGCTCCGGAGCTCGGGTAGCAGGCATGAAGGAAAGTTCAGTGAAACCTGGGCCTGGCTCCCTAAGTGGGCCTAGGAGCCTGCAACTGTTGCCTGGGCCCGTTTGACAGGTGCTGACTCTGAGGCCTGGACTGCCTTCATTGGTTAAATGTGTGGCCTCCCAGTAGCTTCCACCGCACTTGATGTTGGATACGCCCAGAAGGACCTGTCCAGCCCTGCTGCCCTCTGATAGCAGGTTGTGGTCCCCTCTCTCTTTGTCCTTTGCTCTGTACTCTGCCCCCTGCAAACAGGTCAGGTGGTGCTACTCCCAGAGTCAGAGACTGGCAGAGCATTCCTGTGGATTCATGCCCCAAGAAGGGCTTCCCAACCGGGGTTAGAAGTGAGTGCCGATTGGGCAGCCGCTTTCTCTTTAGATTTGGCAGGTTTTTTTTGCTCTCCCACAGAGAACAGGGTTTGGAGTGTTTTACTTTCCCTTTTGGGTCTGGGAATCGGGACTCAAGTTCTGCTGAATGATCTTGGTTAACACTCGTTCTTGCTGCAGAACTCTGTGGCTGACTTCATGCCCTGCAGGATCACTTGTTGCTTTCTCTCCTTAGAGCTTCCATTTCCTCTGTCTGGCATGGTGACTTGTGGAGAGGCTGGATTCTCTGTGAAGGAGGAGAATATGAGTAGGAGAGCAGCTCAGGGCTAGATGTGTGGCGTTTGTTGGTTCCGTGGTGACGTTAATGGTGCTCTTTCCTCTTATAATTCTGTCTCCTTACAGTGAGAAGCAGGCAGCCAGGACCCTCACCACGGTAGAATGGTAAGTACTCCCTCTTTCCTCAGACCATATTATTTTCTGCAATCCTTGTGTCTTTTCCTGGTGAAGCTGTCCCATCCCTCCTGGGCCTTGAACTCCAAGCTATTCTATTCAGCTCCTAAACAGGTTCATTGACCCTATAGATAAATTATGGCTTCTTTAAATTGCAAAACATCAGCCAGTATACTGCACTGGAGCAGGAAACTTCCAGAAGTCTTTTTCTGCATGTGCTATGCCATGGCTTCTCCATTCTACCTACACACCACTGGCTCTCTTAGCCCTTCATAACGGCCTTTCTCTTGCTTTTCTTGGGTCTCTGGTAGAATCTCTGTGTCTGGGTCTGAAAGGCCAGAACAAGGTCCTTGTACTTCCTGGTGCGCCCCTCAGATACTGGTGGTGCTGTTTCAGGAATAACTCCATCAAAACTCTGGGGGCTCTCCAGCTCCAGGTGCTGCTGTCTGTTAAGCCACTGTGCAGGCCACAGCTGATGGGCTATTTAGCAGGATACTCCCTCAAGGTGCCAGAATTTCACTAGGGGTGTTTATAATGATCCCATATATTTTCCATTAACTGTAACTGCCTGTCTCTCACCCATCATCTCAAGTTCAGGGAGCCCCTTAACCCCTGAGAAGGGAGTGGAGAGCTGCAAGCCCTAGCCGAGACCAGGCGCATGTTCAGTTGGTGGAAGGACTTCTCCTCTCCCCGCTCGCCTTCCTCTCATAGATACGTGGGTTTGTGGTATGTGTAGTATTGGTCTGGTCTCTTCTTAGTAAGTCTGCTGGTCCTGGCTCCCAACAACTGACATCCCCTCTCCTTCTTCTCTTCTGTGATACATTGAAAAGAGCAGTCAGCCCAGTCTAGATTCATTTCCTAGTACCACTACTTAAATACCTTAGGGAAATTGCAGACTTTCTCTCTAAGCCTAAAATGTCTCACTAGTAAAACAGCTTACTGTTACTTCTTGGAGGGCTGAAAGGTTTTAGTGAGGTAATGGTTGAAAAGCACATGGTAGATGTGTAATAAAATGTCAGATTTCTCTTATTCCTTTCCCCCTCCAAAAAGCAAAAACAAAACAAATGCCCTAGTTTCTGAAAGTTACCAGGCACAGGAATGAGTTTGGGGTCCCAGCCAGTACAATTCTGAGCCCCTTCATCACTGCTACTTATTCCCTGGCCTTCTACGCCACTTCCCCGACTCCCATCCCTGGATTTCAATTTTTGTTTTTGTATAGCTTCTGTTGTATTCTGTTCAGTTCCTTAGCAGGTTCATTAGCCCGATAGATACATTAGGGCTTCTTTAAACTGAAAAACATCAGCCAATATACTGTACTGGAGCAGGAAACTTCTCCAGTTTCTCAAGCTGTTCTCTTTCTCAGTCTAAGAAATTCTTTCTTCTCCAAGAAGGACTTTCTTACCCAAAGCTCAGAGGATGGGAGAGAAGGATAGGACCTGAAGGAGTAGGGTTGGGCTGGGGCCTTGGAATTAAAAACTGAGAGGCCTTGTCTTTCAAGAATGTGGAGTGACAACCTGGCACCAGACCATGTGTCCATTCTAAGGGATGAAATGGAGGGAGAGTGAGAGGTGGGTGGCATTTAGAGAGGTTAGGGAATTGCAGGACGCTGATGGACGGGAGTATGGCGGATGGTGGTTTTGGAGTGAAAGGAGGAAGCGTTGAAGCTGGAAAGTATAAGGGGTGGAGGTAGGCCAGTTCCTCCATAGCAGCCGTTGGGGGAACTCAGAGAAGGTGAGCGCTTGATGGTGAATGTTGTGAGAAGGGCGTGAGGTGCCTGCCTCACCTGGGAAAATGGGAAATGAAAAGACGTGGGCTTGGTACCCGCCCCCTTCTGTACGGTCT